AATGAACGAACTAATTTGTTGGACTTAATACACTGATAAGAAATAAAGGGAAAATTAGAGCAGATAAGTAGCGTAAATAATGGAATATAAAGGCCTGATATCTAAGATGAGATAAGGTACATATTAGAATGTATGCTAAATTTCATCTGCGTTTCAAAGCCTAAGGAATATCAGGGCTCGACACAAGCTACGCCCCTTTTCAACCATTATAGAAGAATAAAAATAAAGGCCTTTGGCCTCTAATTAGCTTTAACAATTATTTGTAAGCTATACAAACGACCCTTTCTATTTATTTCGAATAAAATGTATCCTTATTAAACCTCGTTCGTTCAAAAATACATTCGTACAAATTAATATATACGTTCAATGAGCAGTATAATTATAAAAAAATAATGCGAGGCTCTAAGATTCATTCTAATTTCACAATAATGAATAATGCCTACGTAAATTTCCACGACCAATACCGGATTTAGACTACTAAACAAACTTTAGGCATAACATTTTTTTGGAGAATGGTTCTTGTAAGGAAAAAATAGTGATATAAAGCAAGATAGTATGAATATGGAAGAAGGGTAAATGTTATTAAATATGAACTTTAATATATAAAAAAGTGATTATATAGTAAAAGAACTTACTTTCACTGGAGGCGCCGATTTTGAGCCCCATCCTAACCCCGTCTGCATCTGTTGAAGCCTTGAGACTGGCGATCTACCAGGATCATAGTATTCACCAAACAAGTCAACTATGCTGACCTGCCCACAAATTGACTTGCTGATTGTACTTCTCGGCATCGTTACACTCCTATCACTATGTCGGCGGCGCAGAAGTGAGCCTTGTTTGATGGAGGCAGCCTTCGTTGGCAAGTTGCGTCCAGATTCAGATTCACTTAGTTGGCTCACCTCAGCCGTTGGGATCGATGAAGAGGCAGGAGATTCATGTGAAGCTGAGCCATTACAAGTGGAAGTTGGATACACTGAAGGAAATGTGGCCGACTCAGAAGCCTGAGAAGACTGTGAAGCCAAAGCAAAGGCTGGCTTAATTGAACCGTTTACTACTGTTGTTTTGCAGACATTAGTTGGCGAGCGTGATAAAGCACCTAACCGCCAAGACGCTTGAGTGCGAAGGCTGAGGTATTGGAGGGGTACGGGTGAAGAAGTTTTCCCTGATCGATATCCGGGTTCGGAAATATCGGAAATGTCTAGGAAATTAAAAAAATTAAAATTATTCTAATTTTATTCGACTAAACTAAACCACTTTCTACAGGAATTAAGTTACATGCAAGAAGTTAGCTAGTGCATTAACTTAATCGCTGTATTCAAGTAGGGATTTTTGTCAATGTGG